GCCTGCTTTGAACAAGGGGAAGTAAAGTCTCTGGGTGAGCACGTGTTGTCAGAGGTCAGTATTGGCATGAAGTCAAGCAAAGCACTGAACTGCTTGCAGGTGCAGGCATACCCAGGAACTGCTGCAGTGGTTTTCACTGGCTCTGAACAGCCACTCTCTCCCAGGGACCCTTGTTTTGTGGCTGTAAGGAGCCAGCCTGGCACTTCCCCCTGCTGTCACACTCACACGTGTGCTGTGAGGCTCCCTCCCACCAGGGATCTGTTATACTATCACAAATAGCCATGTGGGGTGGAGACAGAATCCCAAATTAAAGCAAAATCATCAGCTGGAAGTCACCAGTTGTTTAAGCATGTACTGAAGCACCTTGCTACTTCAGAGGATTTTTATAAAGCATCTGACTTTCCAAGCAGCCAAGCTACTTTGAAGAAGCCCTCTGCCAGCCAGCCAAGGGGCAGCTGCTGCCTCTGCCACGTGCAGGTGTTCTGTAGAAGGGAGGATGTGACCGGCCTGGCCTGGCCATGAACCATTTGTGGCCCAAGACTCAATGCATATGCATCTGTTATAGAGCTCTTCCCATTATCTTTTAGGTTATATTATTGCATTAACTGGAGACATAAAATAACAAACCAAAACTCCTTCATCAACCTCTCCCAAGGACTTTGTCCCCAGCACCATGATGTGCCAACAAGTCATTGCAAACTCTGGCAACAATCAGGGAACAGCTGTAAGCAATCAGTGTGTGTGGGTGATAACATGTTGACTCACATATGGCCGTATTCTGACAGTACCAGGTCACTTGCATATTTAGTGGTTTTTTGCTAAAAGCTTTCAGAATTGGCCTAGTCTATTTTGCAAACTAGTTTATAAGTCCAGTTTTTCTTCCTAGTTTTTATAATGGCAATTCAACACTTTTTACTACCAAGGAGAAGAAATAAGACATAGAAAGTCACCCGCTATCAGAAATTGCCAAAGTTCTTCAAAATTAATCACAGGAGAGAACCAAACCCCAGGATTCAAAGCTGGCAACCTTTGAAATGACAGGAACATGAATAACCTCAGCACGTGGCAGCCAGTACCTCCACACCTCTTAACATCAGCTGTGGCAAATTACCTTTAGCACTGGTGTTAGCAAGCAAGAGTGTGAAAGCAGAACCAGGGCACAGCAAGAGGCCAGCAGATGTCCATCACTTAACTGCAAAACAAAGACAAATCCAATGGCACGTTGAAAAGATAAATGCTCCCCAATGAAAAGGACAAAGAAAAAAAAAATAGCTACATATTGTTTCCCAGCAAATAAAAATTGAATGGGGGGTTGTATAAGTAGGGATAAGTTATGCAAACTTTAGTTTCGTTCCCAGAAAAAATAATAGAGGAAGTAATCAGTAAAATATGTTTAAGATCAGACAATGGCAGTGGCGGAGTGAGGAAGCAGGAATGCAGCCATAAAGCCATAGCTAACATTTGTCTGGGCCAAAATAATTCATCTAGTTGAATGTTGCATAGCCCTAAACTCACACCCCCCTCCATTTCCCAACCTATATACACAAAGGAGAAACCCCAGGTGCTACACGAGCAGCAAAACCATTCCAAGTGCAAGCAGGAGCACGTGTTCCCCATTGCTGGGAGGAGGCTGCAGGGGGTTCTGTTTCTACCATGGCTATTAACATCACCAAATCCACAGCTCTGGTATCCCTGATGCTTTGCACGCATTTTTTTTTTTTTTGGGACACATCCCTTGCACTGCACCCTGGCCTACTGCCAGCAGCTGGGATGGGGGATGGGAGTGTGGCCTCACCAGAAACAAGTTTTTGGGGCACATACTGGCACAAGGCAGGAAAAGCCTAATGCAAGGTAGCCCCTGGCCCAGAGCTGCTAGCCCACCACCAGCACAGCTGGACTCCTGGTTATTTAGGACATTCTGTGCCCCAGCCACCCTCCAGCTTGACCCCGAGCCCTCATCATGGTTAGGTTAGGGTTAGGTTAGGTTAGGTTAGGTTAGGGTTAGGTTAGGCACCCTCCTCCCCACCCAGACCCCAACCCTGCACAGTCCCAGGGGGGCTGATCCCAGATATCTTTACCCCACAGGTAAATAGCCTTTCACTCCCTGCTACTCCTACCTGCTTCCTGCCATTCCCCAAGGACGTAGGGAGGGCACGGAGCTCTTAAGAGGGCAAGGGCTCATCTCCCTTTCACACAGGCACCTGAGGTTTCATAGCCCAGGTGCCAACTGACTCTTAATTCACACATTCAGCTTACAACCAGGTGTAACTCTTTTGTAGCCCCTCTGCTTCAGATCTCAGGGAATGAAAGCCAAAGGAGTTCGTTCCTTTGAGATTTTGACCTTTCCCATGTGGGAATCCCACAGAGAAAAGCATCACAGTGCTATCATTTACTCTGCAGCTCGTTTGCTGTGGAGTCCATGAACCTTTGGCTGTGAGTCTTGAAAGCCCTGAGCACTCAGGCTGGGTGTGGGTGTTCAGCCACAGCCCCCAGTAGCAGCCCCTTCTATCTGAAACAGGCTGTGCCCTGCTGTCCCCTGCCCAGCCAGGCAAATGCCACATGCCCTGAGGTGGCACAAGTCACTGCTGACCAAATGTGGGTTTCCCAAGCATTGCCTCAAACCCCAGGTCTTTTGCAAGGCAGCAGCAGAGAGTCTTAGCTCAGACCTTAAAGAGAAGCTGGAACAGGAAAGGAAGGCATGAGATGGAAAGAGATGGGGGACATGAGATAGGATGTGAGGGGACAGGGGATATCAGAATAGGAAGGGATGGTAGAGGAGAATGGGCTGGAGGATAGGATAGGAAAGAGAATGGGATGGGACAGGAGACAGGATGAAATAGGATGGGAAGGGTGCCCAGCCTTTGGCTGCTCCTGGCCATCTCTCCCATGACCATGGGCCTTTGGCACAGGGGGGCTGTCACCTGGAATGGCTGCACTGGTAGGGGCTGGGGGCACTGAACGGGACGTGGGAAAAGGGGCACAGCCCTCACTCCCCCTCAATATTTGGGCAAGTTAAAAATTACTGAAGCACAGAAGGAGAGTAAGATCTGAGGAAGGGTGACTCAGCTTGTCAAATGACTCTGGTGGCATCAGCCAGGCTTATTAGCATTTATATACAGAGGGAGCTTTCCTGCAATGAGGCTGCTTCCTGCATAGCAGCATCTTCCCTCCTTCTCCTCCATGTCAAAAACAAACTGATTCAGGGTTGAATTTTTTTTTTTTTTTTTTTTTGCATTAAACATTTTTTAAAAAAAAAACGTTTTACAGCTGGCTTTGCAAATCTTCAATTTCATCCTGGGCATGGAGGGTGAAGCCAAGACGTGGCAATGGCCTGACCTGGGTGAGCAGCAGGAGGATTTGGAGCCTGGGATGCAGGCAGACCCCACTGCATTCCCAATTCTTCTCTTGGCTCTGCATCCTCCTGCTTTCCCTCCCCACTGCCAGGCAGGAATTCACTCCAGGCAAGAGAACAGCCCTTGGAGCATCTTCACAACCTTGCAAAATCACCAGCCATTAAAATAAGGAAAGCTGGGCTGAGCAGGGATGCTGCCTCCTGTAGCCAGCTCGAGCTCTGGGCATTGCTGGAGTGGCTCAGTAAAAATCTCTGCCAGGCAGTGTGGCTGTGCCAGACCCCTGGCCTGGAGTGTGGATGTCCTTCAAGGTGGTGAGGGCTGCACTCAGCCAGGGCAGGCGGTTGTGAGAGTTGCTGGCTCCCAGCTCATGATGTCCAAGCAATTCGCTTTGCAGCTCCAGAGCCCACAGCTGCTAAATGCCCAAACGTGGGGAACCCAGGCAATCTCCAAAGAGCATCAGACTGTTTTAAAAATACTTTATTCTTTAGAAAATACAGCGTTCAGTACAGTGTGCTCTGCTCCTCCCAGCTTCAACCCCCTGACTCCGCCGAGGCAACATCTGGACGTTCACCGTCACAGCTGGAAAGCAGAGGGCAGGTTTCACCGCCCCCTTTTCCATCCTCGCAGGGAGGCAGGTGGCTCTCGAGCCCTCGCTGGTACCCAGCAGCAAGGTGCTCTCCCCCCAAGCCCCAGTGCAGCCCAAATCACAGTGCCAAGCTCAGACCGTGGAGCCGATGATGGCCCTTGGTGGCTGGGGACATCCCCAGGGGCACACAGGGCTGTCATGTTCCCCCACACAAGGATTTGGAGTAGCCCAGGTGATTATTGAGACATGGGGCTGCCCCAGCCCAGAGACCCAGCTGAGAACCCGGGGGTAAGGTTGGGGCTGGGGAATGGAGATGGGGGACCAGGGCTCAGGAACCCCTCAGCTCCCTTCCTAAACAGGGACAGGGCTGAGTCAGGGCTGTAGCAGCTCCTTCTGAGGGGGAAAACCTTACTGGGGCAGTTCAAAAAGGGGAAGCAAACATCACCCAAAGGCAGAGTCACCTTTCTCCAGGTCCAGGCTGAGCTCAGGACTAAGTGGGGAACTTCCACCTCCCGCTGCCTGGCTCTCTGCAGGGAAAAACTCCCATCCCACAGGAAGCAAAGCCCACCCCACAGGGGGTCCTGCCCGCACCCTGAGGGGGTGCGGGATCGCTCCAGCCTGGGGCAGAGGGGCCGTGCACACCAAGAGTGGGACAGGGGAACAAAGTCTGGAGGCTGGGGGGGCAGGAAAGAAGCATTTTCTCTTTTCAAACAGGAATCCCCAACCCCCTTCCCTTTGCATAGAGCAGCTTTCAGGTGAGTGTGTCCTTCAGTCACCCAGGGGACACCGAAAGCAGTGGCCGTGACCCTGAGGGGGACAGGAGCAAGGCTGGGGACATGGCTCTGCTGCTCCCGTCCTCCCCCCGCAGCCCCGGGGCTTGCACAAGGACAGGAGGAAAAGAACCAGGACAACTCTGAACCCTCCCCATCGCTCTGCCCCCAGGTGCAACAAGCCATCCAGATGTTTAAAAAAAAAAAAAAAAAAAAAAAAAAAAAAAAAAAAAAAAAAAAAAAAAAAAAAAAAAAAAAAAAAAAAAGGTAAAAAAAACCCCAAAAAAAGGCTGAGATGGAGGGAAAGATCCCCAGGTCAGCGGAGAGGGAGGCGGGAAGCGCCGCAGGATGGTGTCCGTTCACCGCCGCCCGCGGGATCTAACTGTCCTCGCCGTTCTCGCCCGGCCCCTTGATCAGCCGCTTCTGCCCCCGCTTGCCCACGGGGCCCTTGGGCTTGGCGAAGGCCTGCTTGAAGGCGTGCTGCTTGGGGTGCACCTCCTCGTACAGGAACTCCGCCGTCAGCTCCGCCCCGTCGTCGATCTCGATCTGCGCCCGGCAACGGGAAACGGGGGCTTAGCAGCTCCCTTGGGATCTGACAGCCACCTCTGGGGCACCCTACTGCCCCCCAAGCCCATCGCAGGGGCTGGACCAAGGCTGCAGCACAGCCCCCTGGCACCGTCCAGCTCTATCACCTCTGTGGGGGCTCACTCTCACCTTCTTGGCTATCTCCAAGCAAAACTCCTGCTCCACAGTGTCCAGCAACCGGCTCTTGCAGCTGGAGTAGAGCATGCGCTCCTTGATGCTGCACTTGTACCCGGGCATGGAGTAGATAAAGACTGCAAAAACAGAGCAGGGCTTGTGGCACTGCCCGGGCCCGTGGCCAGGGAGCACCAGCTGTATCCCACCCTGCTCGTGGCCTTTCCAGCCCAGAGTCCCAGGTAACATCCAGCAACAGAGGGTGAGCCATCCCATCCATCACCCCTCCCAGACCTCCCCTGGCACTCCTTCAACACCGGAGGGAAACAAAGCGCCCGCCACCAAGAGCTCGGGGGCAGCACCCAGAGACCTGCCCTGCACATGGCCCCAAAGTCTCTGCCAGCACCCACCACAGACTCAAGGCTCCCTGATGCACCATCCCTGTCCCCATCCCTGCTTGCTCCCCATGCAACCAATGGTCCAGGGAAAACAGGGATTGGCACAGGCTCAAACTGGCCTTTCCCAGTGCTGAGGCTCTCACCAACAGACTCCAGGTAATCCCCCTCGTGTGAGTGCTTGTACAGGAAGAAATGGTAGCGAGCAGAGTCCTGGGGGATCCTCTTGGGCAGGTCAGTGATCTCTGTGGGGCTCGTGTGCACCAGGTCGATGGTCTCCCGCTCCAGATCCAGCTTCTGATGGACAGAGGGGACAGGGAGCAGATGGAGTGAGAGACAGCAGCAGGATGTGGGGAGTGGGGCACAGAGAAGCCATGTGAGGGACCTACCAGCTGGATGTAGTTGATTTTCTTCTGCTTGAGAGCCTGGATGGCTTGCTGGGCATCCGGCTGCAGGGGGAAGGCCAGGCCCTGCAGCGTCTGGTGCTTGCTCTCCACGCTGATCTCCGTCTTCACCTGGGGATGGAGAGCACCTCGAGTGTCAGGGCACAGTGGCAAAGGGTGGGGAAGGGGGGAACAGGAAAACCAGCTGGCTCTGCAGCTAAAGGTTTCTCATCCAAGGAGGTGTCTGACACCTGTCCCACAGGGATCACAGCATTAAACCACTGAGTCAGCCAGGCTCAGGATGGTGGTGCTTGTCACCATCCCACCACTCCAGGACGTCACCCAGGCCCAGCCATGCACCCCCACACCTTCTGCTTCACTCTCAGCAAAGACCAGCTCAAACCAAATGTTTCCCAGTGAATCCCCGGCAGGGATGCTGTGACCAGCACTGGCACATGATGATCCTCTCCGATCATCTCCACAGACTGCAGCCTGTGGGTGAGAGGGGAAGGCCAGAAATCACAGCACTCAGCTGGGCACCCCCTCCTCAGTGGGTGTAACTGCAGCAGACAGACATTCCCTCCAACGCCGGAGCTGGGGATGGAGATCACAGCTCAGAAAGATCCCAGCTGCTGCTTTCCCCACAACCCCTACGAGGCACAGGCTGCCAGCCATATCCCGAGCAAACCCCCCAGTCCGGGAGAACGAGCCCCACTTCAAAGAGGGGAGAGAAAGAGATTGCAGAGACATCAAATCGCTCCAGGTGCCTCCATCCAGCCACAGCAGGGGTCCCTGGGGGGGCTGGGGAGAAGGGCACACGCAGCAGGCACACCATACCTCCTCGGGGTCGGGGTACTCTACCAGCGATGGGCAGCAGCAACAGCCCCCCACCATCTGCCACAGAATACAGGGAGGCGGTGTCACCCCGATGGCAGAGGAGCCCTCCCACCTCAAGACCCCCTCCCAAGGAAACACTCCAGCAACACCATCCCAGGTACTCTGCAGTGAGCTTGGGTCCCTTTCCTTTAGGATCAGTTTTGGGGATTTTGGATAGAGCCCAACCTTTATGGTTTTTTTTTTTTTTTCTTTCTTCATTTCCCTCCCCCTGATAGAGAAAAGGAAGAGAAGTCAAGGCATGCCAAGAGAAACACAAGAGCTTGAGCTGACATCTCAAAACCACTCGGCAGCACCAAAGTGGGTCTCCTTAAGGCTGCCCTTTGTTACAGCAGCCCCACGCAGCACCCACACCCTGGGGAGATGATGGAGCCAGATGCCCGGAGCAGAGCATGCAGGAAAACACTGCCAGGAGAAGGAAAAATCGGGCATCAAGCGGGCAGAGCAGCCTACCATCTCAGTGCTCGAGTCCTGGGAGCAGGAATCCTGCGAGCGTGGGGAGAGGAGACACACTGTCAATGGCACAGGGAGGGGTCAGGGGAGCAGGAGGGAGGGGGACACACACGGATGTGCCGGCAGGAGGGAGCTGCACCGCCTCTGCTGGAGCTGATCCAGCCATGTGGGCAGGGAGAGCAGCAAAAAACGACACAGGAGATGCCAGGGCTGGGGAGGAGCAGGAGGGAGAGCCTGGGCACCTCCGAGCCTGGGCATGCAGGGTCTCCACCAACATCCCTGTGCAGAGCCCATCCCTGCCCCATCTCCTCCTGGCTCCCCAGTCAGGATGGCCCCAGTGCAGGGTTTGGAGGAGTTCCAGCACTTGCAGCAATAGCTTTTGGGCTATCCTTCACTAAAGAGCATAGATGGAAGGTTTATGAGGGAAAAAATACCCAGGCCTCTATCCATGCCAAGCATCCTGGAGGATGAGCAGGGTGTTGATGTGCAGCTCTCAGGAAAGGGAAATAATTACTTGGGTGGGCACCAAGTCCAGCTGACCTCGAGCTCTGCTGTCCTGCCATCCCCCAGGTGCCATCACACCACCAAGGGCCTGAGGGTGAGCACCAGGGCTTCAGGACACACACAAGTTCAGCTGGTCCCACCCTGTGGAGTGGTGCAGCACAAGGACATTACCACTGCCAGCACCTCCAGCATCCCAGCTTTCTGTCCCATAAATGCAAGAAGACCAGGAGAGTTACAGTGGCACTGTAGAGACCTTAGCTCTGACACAAAGCACACTGAAGTCCAAAAACACCAGGAGATGGAAATTTGTCCCAGCAACATCAACTCCCCCATGTACCTCTGCATTTTCTACTCCTTCCCTTTCCAGAAACATTAAAAATTGGCTGCCTGAGCACTTCCCAGAGCACAGCCTGGGAGCAGTGCATGGGACAGCTGAGCATGTGTTGCATCCCAGATTCCCAACCTTGCCAGCAGCAGGCTTACCTAGGAGGTTACTTTATCTCCTTTTCTTTAGGTTAGATTTTCTCCTCCTCTTTCCTCCCTCCTGGCATGATGCTGACCCTGCCTGAGGAGCACTTCTCTGTCTTATGGCAAATTCCTCATGGGAGGGTTCTGGTGAAGCACCACCAACACTGTGGGGCATCTGTGAAGGACACCCCCTTACCCAGTGCAGTGGCATCCCCACCTTTGTTTCTTCTCAGTTCTCCTGCCTCCTCTCCCACCTCCAAGGCTGCCTTCCTCTGCCCCACAGGCCTGCCAATGGGATATGCCCAGCTCCCCCTCCACCCTTATTTCTGAACCTGCAACACTTCTACAAAGACTCCCCAGGTGTGGGTGTTGAGCTCAATGCCAAATTCAAAGCTGTTTCTTAGCCCACGGTCTGCTGACAACTATCAGCTCAGCAAAGCTGGCATTTTCCAGCTATTAAAAACATATATATAAATATATATATATATATATATAGCAGGTGGCAAATTTCCATGAGCTCCCACCCAGCTACCAAAAAGGGGGTTAACTCACGACATCACCTCTGCCCATCCAATTCTCAAACCCCAGCCTAAAAAGCTGCTTTGCCAAAGGCTGGGCAGCTCCCTGGGGGATGTGCAAACCTGAGTCCTTCCTTGCTCAGTGTCAAAGGCCACTCTGCTGGCCCTGAAGCTGCTGCCCCGCCACCCTCACCTGCCCCTTTGGGCTGTCCTGCCCTTCCCATCCCCTCTCCACACTCTTCTGGTGGCTGGGGAGGACCCCAGGCAGCTCTGCCTGCCCACAAACACAGCCATGGTGAAGGCTGCAAGCCTGGCCAGTGCCTTGGAAGGTTGTGAGTCAACAGGGTGAGAGGGGAGGGAGGGGGGCCCAGAGCAGCTCCAGGCGAGGGGCACAGCAAAGCACTTGTGGGCTGGTGGCTTTTAAATAAACCATGTCCCTTGTGCCTCTTCTGAAATCCCGCTGGGCTGGCTGAACACGAGGGGAGGCACAGGGTCCTGGACCCTGCAGGGGCCTGGGCAGACACACAGAAGTGCTGAGGTCAGGGCTTGCCCCAGGGCCAACTCCCAGGCTGGTGCTGGCCCCCACCACTCGTTCCCACGCACTGGATCTGCTCCTCCAAACTCAACAGCCACGTGCAAGCACATTCCAGGCCCCAGAGCTGTGCACAAGGGACCCTGCAAGCTGCAGGCAATGAACAAAGCTGGAAGCATCACTGTACCATGCTGTAACACCAACACAGAGACCCCTTAGCACACCCAGCACTTGGCTGCTTTCCACCTTTAAATCCACAGGCAAAAATATATTCATCTTCATCTCTTTCTTAATGTCAGTGACTCCTCCCTGTGGCCCAGGCTGACACAGGGGACGATGTACCCTTAGAATAACCCCCACCAAACCAGAGAGCAACAGCAGCACCTCTATCCAGGAGCTGCATCTCAAAAAGGCAAGGCTGGGAGGGAAGGAGAATGAGGCAGATCAATGAGCATCACATGCATCACTTACCTGGGCCATACAGCCCTGTAAGACACTGCCCAGCAGCCCCCCAAAACTACTTAATCCTGCAGCACAGGCCAGACAAGGTGATGGCAGATCACAGAAGCAGCTGAGTCAAAAGGGACCCTCAAGAATCATCAAGTCCAGGTGTCCCAAGGTACCAAACAAACCACACAGTCACCATCAGCACCTCTCTCTTCTCCAAACGTGGGCATCTCCTTGCATCCTTCCAGAACAAATTCTGCCCAGGCCCTCCAGGCTGGGAGCTGGGATAACTCCCCTAAGACCCACCTGGTGGATTCCACTCCTTGGTGGCATCTCCCAAATGTCCCTCAACTTTGCCACCTGCAGACCTGCTTTGGCAGGTGGAAATCACCCCCAGAGCTGCTTGGACAGGTAGAAACTTCCTGCCTCATCTGTGCTATTAATTAATGCCATGAGGCTGATTGGCTTCACATCTCCCACACCTCCTGATCCATCCATGAGAGGCACAGCCCCAGCACAGGCAGAAGAGAGGGATGCTCCTCTAGAGAGGAAAGCTTTCCATGCATCTAAGGGAAATTCCCCCATTCCAAAACAAAGTACTGCTTCCAAGTGGTCTCCCCACACAGTGAGCACACCCCCTTTCCTGCCTCAGTGTGCCACAGCTGTGAAACCACAGAGGCTGTGGAAAGCCAGCAGGGAACAATGGGCACTCAGCCTTGTGTGCCCCCAGCCCTACCCTGTGCCACTTCCACGTCCTTTCCAGCAACTACAGGCTAAGATCTGTGTTCCTTGGGACAGCACCCCTCGTATTTATAGACGTAAAGGAAGTGTATGGGAGAGGAGGCTGCTGCAGCCCAAAGATAAGCCTGAATATCTTCAAACTCGGCTCTGGCTTTTCCTCCAATACCCACAGGTTGGAGACCTGCCTTCAGCCCCAAACCATCTTCTGACTGTCAGCAAAATACAGTCCTGAGCTCATGTCCAACCAAGGGGAATAAAAAATAGTAGTGTAAATTCCTCTTTGTGCTACCAATTTGACTGTGAGGGTGTTCATCCACCTTGAGAAGGACAGAAATGGTTTAAACGGCGATGCCCACGCGGGCAGCAGCCCTGCTGCACACCCACCTCGTTGATGCGGATCTGCTGCAGCTCCTGCTCGGCTGCGGTCAGCGGGGCGGGCGCAGAGCAGGAGGACACGTGCTTCTGGTACCCGCTCAGGGACACGTCCTCCTGCAGACAGAGGCACGGGGCAGCTGTCACAGGGGGTCATCCCGGCCGTGCCCCCAGCCTTCAGCTGAGTCTCAGCAGCCCACAGAGTCTCGGGCTCCCTCCTGACCGGGAGGACCAACCTGAAGGCTCTCGGATTCCTTCAGCAAATCCCACACTCGATTTGTCTGTTCTGAGCACCCTGCCCCTCCCCAGTCACCCATGGCTGTGGCATGGGCTGCTCTGGCTGTTTCATGAGCATGGAAGTGAGAGGGAAAGGCAGAGCCCATAGCCCAGGAGCAGCAGAGGGACCTTGGGGAAGAGCAGGAATGCTCCCTGGCTTCCACCAGTACCAGAGGCCCCAGCAGGAGTGATGTCCAGGAGGCCCTGGCTGTGCAGCTCCCTCTGCCCATGGAAGAGGAGGAGAAACCTCCATGCAAGGCAGTGGATAACCCCGGTGTGGAGGCAGCTGTCACTGCTGGAGTGACACTGCCACCACCTGGCACTTCTTCTGCCATCCAGTGTAAAGCTCCACATCTTACAGCCTCCCTCCCACCTCTTCCACGCTCTCTGTCACAGACCACAGCCATGCAGGCAGGAGAAAGCAGCCCTGGCCACGCAGGGAGCAGTGTGGAGGACCAACAGCCTGCTGTTCCCTCAGCAAACACCAGCATCCCCCATCCACCACCCACACACCGAGCTCCAGGCAGGCTCTGAAGCTCAGGGCCAGACCCAAAGGTTGCCCAGGACCCACCACAGTACCTTCACTGTGCCAAACATCTCGTCCTTTATGTGCCCCCCACCAAACTCCTTCTTCACAGTGGCTCTGGTGGCAGCGTACAGCATCTTCAGCCGGACCTGCCAGGACAGGGGTGGCAGTGCTGTCACACAGGGGAACCAGAGAGGGCCCAGAGGTCACAGCCATCACCCTCCACACACCTCAGCCTCTCCTGGGAGCACCCACCGAGTTTCTAGCTCGGTCTGATTTTTAATGGCAGCATCCCTAGGTAGGGATCAGCTGGGAAAACCTACCAGCACTATTTCTGGGGCTGCAGCCTTGCCAAGAGCTGCCCACAAGCCAACAGTTTATTCCGTGCTTTGCTATCCAGTCCCTGAGCTCCAGAGCACCATTTCCCACCAGCACTTGAGTTAGAGGAGGCACAAATACCATAGACCCACTTAAAAGTGACTTTTGCCTTTGGCACTTCTATTGCACCATTCTGCAAAATGCAGGGAAGAGCTTTGGCAAGTGCTCCTGGGCACACTGTGCTTCTGCAGTAAGAGCCTCTGTGGTTTGTTGAAAGATATACATATCTAAAATATACATGATTATATATACACGTGTACATGCACACATGCACAAATATGCACATGCATATAAAATTAGATATATATCACTTGTATACATATTTTTATATATGTGACCAGTGAATGTATTTATGTGGCAGTAAATCTACCTAGCTTATAGATTACAATAAATATACAACAATTAAATACATAGGAATATATAAACACACATATACAGACAAATATGTATATAGAAGACAAGTACATGTGTTAACACACATCAGCAAACTTCAGCTGATGTGCTCAACAGGATGGCATTTTCCAAGCTGTACCACTGATCTCCTCTAAACCTGCTTCCCGTCCAACCAGCCCTTTTGTGTCACTCTCCAGCAGCTGATTTTGGAGCAAGGCCTGGAGAGGGGCTGGCAGCCACTCGGCATCAGCCTCAAGCAGAGAAGGGCCAGGCTGGAGGCACATCAGTGTCAGTGCCAGCTCTTCCCAGCAATGGCCAGAGCCATGGTGGGATGTGTCCAACCTGGCCTCATGGTCCACACCACTCCCCCCTCTACATCCCAGCTTCTCCACCTCCTCACCTGGCACTGGAATGGGACAGAGACACAGTCTCAATGGATCTCTTTGTGTCCTAAAACATTCCCCATCCTCACAGCAGTCTCCATTTCTCAACCCAGGCACCAGAGCAGGGTGTGAACAGCAGGGTGTGAACGCTCCCTCTCGGCCCCAGGGCAGAGTCCCCTTGGCCAGCACCTCCTTCCCCGTCCCCCCTGCACCCCCCTGGCACATCCCTGTCCCCAGGTGGGTGCCAGGGCCTGGAGCTCACCGGGGAGCTGTCTGGGGACCAGGAGATGAAGAGCCACTCGAAGCCCTGGGCGTTCTGGCTGTCCAGGCGGTACAGGACGTAGCAGGGCTGCTGCTCGTCCAGCAAGGGCAGCACCAAGGTGTCATAGTCGGCGTCCCAGCGCCGGGACAGCTCTTTGTGGGCTCCCAGCACGAGCTGCTCTGCAAGGAGAAGACAGGAAAGGTGGTGTTAGACCAAAGCAAGCTTCATCTTGCAGGACCAGGTAGGGTAGCAGCTCACTAAGGGTTCACTTCAGCTCCAGCACCAACAATGATGCTGTACTGCAGAAGAACAAATTATTACCTCAAGTCACATGCAGGAGTGTACCTTCCCACCCCTGTGGCTGCCGTGGAGGGCTGGTTTTCTGCCAGCCTCCTGTCAACCATCTCTTCTTCACCTGTGTTTCCCACCAGCAAAGTCTCCTCTTGACCACCCGTGGTTTCCTTCCATTCTGCTCCCTCCTGCTCTGTAGTGCCCACCCATCCCTCCTCGCTCACAGGGGAACACAAGACCCACCCACCCCACCTGGACAAGCCCTATGGTCACTAGAACACCTCACCAGGGACACAGAGAACCACCAACATTTTGGGTGCTGAGAAAAGTAATGGTCTCAGCAAAATCCAGGATGATGAGCCAAAGCTGCTCTCACTGGATTTCCTGTAACCTCACAGGGGTTAAAATCAGAGCTGACACCCAAAGCCCATGTCTGTGGGCAGCAGGGATGTCCCACAGTGCCCAGCCTGGAGGAGGACCATGCTGCCAGGAGAGCCCCAGCCTCCTAAAGTAACCTGTGTGTTTCACACACACCTCAAGGTATTATTTTCAGCTGCTACGCAAGTGGCAGTGGGACTGGGAGCCCTGTGAGCTGGGCACTGCCAGCTGGGATTGAAACACTGGTGCAAGCATCCTACAGACATGAATCCACACCCTGGCAAGGATCAAGTCAGGCTTTGTGATGGCTGGGTGAAAAAGTGGTGGTGCTGGGGATACCAGTGTAGGCTGCTGGAAAACAGCCTGTATTTTTACTTCAATTGCAGATGCAGAAAGGTCTGGGAGGAGATTACAGGACTCAGAACAAGATGTAGGAAATTCTGGAGGTGCCATAGCAGAATGTGTTGGGGCCTTTGGCAATTAGCACCTGAGGGCATGCTTGGCTGGGCACATGCCCTGCCAGGACCTCTGCCCACAGCCCCGCTGCCTACTGGGACCCTTGGCTGGGGCACAACCCTCTCCCTCCCAACCCTCGGCAGCTCCAAATCTCAGGGCAGGAAAGCTTTTAAGGAAAATAGTTGAGGAATGAAGGGTTTGGGGGGAATTTCTCACCCAGGCAGGACATTCCCTATGACAGCAGCATACCCCTCCCCTGCCCAGCACTGCCCTGGCACCTGCCACCACTACTCAATCCAGTTATTTGTGCATGGGTGGCACAAGCTTCTCATTCAGTAACAAGGACATCAGAGAAGGAGGTGCTAGAAATACTTTACCTTTTGCAAAACTACCTGTTTGGAGAAAGGGAAGCATAAAAACCTCAGTGCATTCCTACAATAAACACAAAGCTCTGTGAATGGATTTGTGCATTACAAAGAAGAAACTGCAGGAATTTCGAAGGGCCAAACCCACCGGCAGCTCGAGGGCATCTCTGAAACAACGCAAACCCTGCACAGAGCCATCAGTGCTGGGTCACCCCCGGCTATTCCCGGGCTGTGACTCAGCCGGAGCCCAGCGAGCTGCTGGCAGCCTTCAACCTTCCCCGAGCTCTTTGCAGCTCTGCTCAATCCACTCAGGGACACATTTTCCTCCTTGGGAAGTGTCAGAAAGGGGAAACTGAGAGCAGACGCCCTTCAGCAGAGTTATCCAGCCCTGGCTGTATCAGGCTCTGTTTGTCCCGGGAGCTGCTGCTGGAAAAGCAGAGCTGGGAGTGTTTCTGGCCCCTGAGGTGCCCCAGCTCTCCCTGCCTTGCCCTGAAATGCCTCTACAGGGCAGCTCTGGTGGGTGCCAACCTGCAAAACTCAGTGCACACCATCACTGTGAGTAAAGAAATGCATCCAACAGGGAAATCCAGAAAGCCAATCTTGTCCCAAATCCTGCTGACAGCGAGGAGCAGAGCATCATCTAAAAACATGCTGGAGCACAAGCTGCTCTCATGCCAGGAAAGTGCTGCTGGGTCTTGGTGCACATCCTGCTCCATCCAATCTCGGCTCTTCCCAGTAGCTCTCCAAAGGCAAAATGACCTCTCAAATTCCTCCCAAAGGGTCACTCAGCCACAATGGTGGTCTTGGAGATGCTCAGACACAGAGCATCTGACATAAGGCTCCTTGCACCATCTTCCTCTCCTTCTACTCACTGCTGCCTGCTCCAAAATGCCCCAAGACAAATTCTCCACAGGGCAAAAGGTGCTGCAAGCCATCCAGCAGAGAGGGAGGCTCCTCTCCCAGTCCTCTGCCAGGCAGGGCAGCTGGCATGTCCTCCCCAGGCAGCTCTGGACACCTCCCTTCCAGGGTGAGCACCTGTCTGTCTGGCTGTGACATCTGCCTGGCCACTCTTAGTGCCCAAGGGTCCTTCTCTGCTGAGTACCCCCAGGCTGATGTCCCCTGTGTGACAGCAGAGTGGTGGCCCTGCTGCTGACAATGGACAGATTAAAAAATCCCTTTCAGCCACAGCAGAGATGGGAAATGTTTTCCATTGGTGATAAAAAGTCTTCCTCGCTGGCATCAGCAGCCACAACCCAAAACCAGTGGCACAAGCCCTAAGCATCCCAAGCCCAGGCTTAGGGACAGGCATGGCTTATCCTAACACAAACCTGATTCCCACTTTTGGAAAGTGAAAAAAGCTGAGAGCGCAAAGTTGTTGTCAAAGATGCTCCAAAGAAACAACGTGGATGTTTCACCCCCCAACAATGGGGACCTTGCCAAGGACAAAGCCAACACTGCTGAGCCCTGCTGCAGTCCCACTGATGTGTCCCATGCATTTCCAGTCATGCTGCTCTTCTGAACAGGACGTTGTGGCCTCTCCAGAGGTCAGGTGGGCTCCTTATGACCACAGGCTCCTTACAACCACATCCACCTCGGTGTTTGCACTGGTGGCCCACCCAGGGGAGGTGGTGACAGCAGCTTGGCAGGGCAGGAATGTCCCTGCTGCTGCGTGGGAAACAAGTCATTCATATGCAACTGTATGAGGCTGAGGTGATGGAAAACCTACACCAGGGCAGCTCCCCGCCCGCTGGGACGTGCAATCAGTGCTCAGCTCTGCTCACTTGCTTGACAGATGCAGAGGCCACCCAAAGGACCCATTCCATGGGACAAACAGGGGCAAGGCTGGTGCCAGCCTGTATCCTGGGCTAGGGGCAGCCCAGGGGATGGGATGGCTCTCAGAGCGTGGCATTCCTCACAGGATGGCACTGCAGCCCTGTGCTGGGCCTGGAGCCACAGAGCACCCCCCTGCCCGGGCATCTCCTTGCCAGCTGTGGGATGACACATCCTGGGGGAAATGCCTGTGCATCACCCCCAGCAAAGGTCCCAGGGTCCCTGCTGCAGCCTGTCACAGAGATCCCATGATAAAATATGACACAGCAGCAGCAAAAGCCCCCACAGAGCACCGATCCCAGGCTGGTATTGCTCTGCTGGCAAAGTCACTGCTCCCCACTGGAGCTGGCCTGGGGCTCCAAGAGCTGCTCACCAGCACACCCAAAGTTTGGGCTTGTATTTCAGGTCTGGGTTACCACATGCCCAGAAGCCCCAGGAGCATTTTCCTTGAGGTTTACAAAAACACAAGCTGGCACCGCAGTGGTGAAGAGAAGGGAGGAGAGGAAATAGAGAACAGGCAGAGTGTAAATCAAAGCAGTTAAAAATGGGACTTACCGTCCTCAATGATGACCTTGATGAGCCGAACTGAACCATTTCGGGCTTTGGCAAAAAAGTCCCTTAATTCTGTGGTGGCTGAAAGAACCAAAAACATCGTGATCAGATTTAGCAATCAAAGCAGGTGCTGGGTCGATCAGTGACTGACCAGAAAGGGGAACAACTTGGCAGGATAGAAATTTAAAACTTAAAAAAAAATAAAAATTAAATCTCTGGCCAAAAAAAAATTATAATAAAAAATAACAATAACACAAAACCCAAAAAGTTGGGAGAGAAGTGCCGTGTCTCCCTGAGGCGTCAGAGTTAAATAGCAGCTGGGAGCACATGTGATCCAGAGAACCTGATACTTGGCCTGGGTGAACATAATCACCCAAATTTAGACGATGGCTTGGCCAGTGCGGGCAGGGAGAGCTCAAGTGACAAGTTGATTGGCTTGACAGAGCGGCAGGGCTGGCACAGCCGGGGTGGCTGGAGGATGTCCTGACAGGCTGCCACGTCCTGGGCTTGTGACACACGGCAGGATGCTGCTCCCGAGCGGCTGGGAACCAGCACAACTCCAAACTGGAGGTGCTGGTTTGAAGCTGAGCCTGTAGGGAAGGGAAAGGCAACAGCCCCAAGGTTTTGCTCTGAAGCTGGCAGGGCTTGGATTGCAGCAGGTTTTTGGGAAGCGTTTCGGGGAGCATTCCTCCTCACCCTGCTCCCTGAGCACCAGCAACAGCAACCAATCTCAGCATCCTACCAGGAGGCAGCTGGAGGCACTGGATAGAGGCTTCATCTGCCACCCTGGAAGCATCACTGCACAGAGCTCCCCGTGCCACCCAGGACATGCTCCATGTGAAGGCAAAGCCCAGGAGATGTGGCTCTGAGGGGCCAACCCCCAAACAAGGATCATCTCCTGGCCTGGCTCTCCCTAAAGCCACCCAAGCCTTTTCCTGGATGCAGCCACACAGCAAAGGGAGCCCTGTGATTTCAAAAGCTGCTGTTCTTGTTAGAAGAACTCAAGAAACTGGTGTGGCAAAGATTAGAGACATGGGCAGATGCCCCTTAACCCACACCAGGATCTGTGCCTGGAATCTGCAGCAGCAGCCCCTCCATTCCTGGTGCTTTGCTGTGCCAGCAGCAGGAAGGAGCCTGGAGCCCGAGAGCACCCACAGCTAAGGCAGCTGGCAGAGGAAGCCATCCCTTCAAGGCCATATGCAGTCCCTACAGCCCCTCCAGCGCTGGGCACCAGCCTTGGCACAGCCCCAGGAGAGCCTCGATGGTGCCCAGCACCGCACACGGGACCAGGGACCCCCGGCTGTCCCTGAGCACGGCCCCCCGTGCCCCGGGCAGACCCTGGGCTGGGGCACTGCCAAACCCCCCTGCCGAGGGAGGAGGGATCCCTGGGGAGCTCCCAGGAAACTCCTGCCTGGCCCCCACAGGTGACAGCTCTGCCATGCAGCTGCCACCAGCCCAAAGCTGCCCTGATCAGAGGCTGCCTGGCTTCTCCTCCCACGGGGACAAGAGGCACAACGAGGAAGAGCTCCCAGGCTGGCTCCTGCAGGCAGCAGCTCCCACACAAGCCCAGAGATGCCATCCCGACAGGACCCTGCAGGAATGGGCACACAGACACCCCAGCAAAGGCTTGTCACTTCTTAATGGCATTTCAGGGGACAAACAGAAGGTTTGCTGGTGTAATCCCACCACATGCTGCTCCCTCCAACAGCATCAGGGCATGTAGGTCTCCCAGCTCCCAGAGCAGACATTCACCCTCTCCCAGTGCCAGCTGGGAGCTCAGCCCACTCCTGCTGTGCCCAACCAAGGATATTCTGATATTTTTAGCCCCTTTCCCTGTTGAGAGTGGCTGTTTCCTTCTGGCAGCATCTGTGGTTATTGCACACATACAAGGCAGAAGAGGAAGAGAAAAAGACATTTTATACACCCAGGAAACCTCATGCAGGAGACAAAACTCTTAATAAGCTTCAGGTTTCACCAATTCCTATTACACTTCAAAACTATGAGAGAATAACAGCACTCTTGGACGTTTCTATAGCATCAACTTCAGGGAAGAAATAGGAAAGCTCTGCAGCACTAACCAGCTTGGAAATCCCTCCAGTCTGACCCCATCCTTCCCAGAACCCAAAGGCAGGTGGGGGGTCTGGAAAATCAGGAGTCTGGACAAATGCAACCCTGTAGCCCTCTAGGGAATGCTGGCAGTGCCCTGAAGATGAACAGGCAGGATGACTGGCAGCTGAGGGGCTGACAAGTGGCAGCCAAGCACTGGGGTCTGTGTAGGTACCCAGGGGTTGAAGGGGGTGTGGAAAAGCCTGGATGCTGCCAGAGAAGCTGAGTGCACCACAGGGAATGCCTCTTCCAAGGAGGGAGACTGTTTCCAGAGGAGACAGCAGCAAAGCTTTCAAAAAAAAAAAACCTCAGAAGGGGCTTGCAAGATTTAATGCTGCTGAATTTTCTCTTAAAGCAATTTTCATTTACATAAAAAGCAGAGTGTCTCCAGCGTCCCCTTCTGCCTCTCACAACGCAGAGCCAAGAGCCAATGAGGAGGGAGAGGAATAAAGCAGGGAAGGTTTGAGCACAAGCTCAGCACTGCTTCATTACAGCACGATTACAACTTAATTGGCACAGCAGACTTGACGAGATGGTTTACGTGCCTGAAATATTAATAGAGAAGTCCACAGCTAGCTCTGGGGGAAGAGCTGGAGGACACCTCACCCTGGAGATGGTGCCTCATAGCATCCTCTGCCAGGAAGTCTCCAGGATACATCTCAAGAGCTGAAAAACCCATGTGTGAGGAAACCATAAAAACCAAGGGAGAGGGAGGAGCAACAGGGCAGAGGAGTGAAAGGGACCCACACATCCAACTCACCCTGTAGACATGGGTTCCTGGAAAATCCTGGAACAAATAATCCAGAAACAAATCCAAGGTGGGCTAGAGCCCGTGTGGATCTGCTGAGGCCAAGATGCATGAGATCCCTCATGCTTCCTCCAGCAGAGCCAGAGACCTGTGGGCATCAGGGCTCTCAGCTCAGCTTCTAAGAGTCTCCAAAAGTCAGATGCCAGCTTGGGAACACGGGGGTGGTGAACCTCCATGGACACAAAACCATGTGGGTAACTCATTCAGGGAGGATCAGAGGTGGGATCGAGCAAGGTGTCCTGGGCACCTGTGGTGGGTGCAGCTTTATCCATATTTCCATGCACGCTTCTGGCAGCTGCAATAGTGCTTCCTGCAGCTGTAAGGTGTGAAGCTAGAGGAGATGCAAGTGTGCACTTGAGAAAAATTCAGCATTCTCTCAGGAGATTTGAAGAAATGGGCTGGGAAAAAAAGAAATAGGATGAAACTCAAAAGGAAGCAAAGTACCATAACTGGAGAAAGGACCAGACAGGGTAGGGTCCAGCAGCTCCAGAGGAGAAAGGTCCAGGTTAGTCACTTCACACTGCTGCAGGCAAAGTCATTTGTGAAGGCAGGAACAAGAGCATGACCATGTTATCTGGTGCTGAGAAGGCTGCAGGCACAGCACGAACAGCACACCCAGGCTCAGCATTGTGCAAGGAGCAAGGCACAGCACACACAGCACCTGTGCCAGAGGGCAAAGTGTGCAGGAGCTGCAGCTGGTCAGCCCAGGGAAGAGAAGAAAAATCACTAACAGCTTGTACTGGTTTTCCAACCAGGAACATCAAGACCCACCTTGGAGTTTGGGAAATCTCATGTTGAAGGTGCTCAAACCCTGGGAAGGACACCACGTCCCTGTCCCTGCCCTGGAAAATGGATGTTGCTGCTTTGAGGCAGTGTGAGCCCAGTGGCACCTGAGGAACCTTCTGGTCTTTATTTCTACAAGGCAGCCCTGGTGAGCACACACCCCAGCCCAAAATCACCTTCAGCCACTGAGTCCTGCAGCACCTCCCTCTCCCACCTGTTTGCAGGATGCAGATTTTTTTTCTCCCAAAAGCAGCCAGCATTTAGAAGCCTGATAACAGCATGTCCCAGGTCCCCTTGTTCCACACAGCCTCCCAGCCCAGTGTCCCCTGCCACCCATGTGGGTTGGAGGGCTGAGCAGAGCCAGCTGCTGACAGCAGGGCAGCTCACGGTGTGGCAGGAGGTGATGGCTGGCCAGCAGTGGCCTTCAGGCGGCCCTGACCCCACAGGCAAACTGCCAGAGGAGAACTGGAGCTGGTGGGAGGAGGGCAGGACAGTGCCTGCCCTCTGGCAGCCCTGACCAAAAGGTGCAGAGCAAAGCCTGAACTCCCCCAGCCCAGGGAGCAGCAGGGCAGCCAGACCCTTGCACCTCCTGACAGACATGAATGGTAGCCCTGTGCTGGGATGCACCCTGGATCAGTCCCCAGGAGCTTTCACTGCCAGGCTTGAAGCATCCCTCTTGTTTAAGAGAGAGATGAACTGCTGAACGATGATGCTTGTGGGTACCACCCTGCCAAACACTCTTCCCAGTCTGAGCCTTTTTCTGCTGTTTACAGCCCCAGTGAGCTCCTCTGGGCAGAGCCGGGCTGCAAGGAGCCCGGAGGGGGGAGAGGCAGTGATGGCAGCCGTAGCCACAGACACGGCCACCTCTCCCTGGGGGTGCCCGGGTGCCAGCGGAGCCACCCACACGATCCCCGGGGAGGCTCTGGGATGGGGATGGAGGCACAGCCACAGCGTCCCCTCCTCCGGCCTCTCGGCCACTTGTCAGGGCAGCAACACGTTTGTGCTGGTTGGAGCCTGCCCCGTGGCCCCACGCAGTGCCTGGATCAATAATACATAATAGATGCTCCCTGAAACAGATGCCTCTCTCAATACATCAAGTCACCTTGCCCTCCCGACGAAACCCGAGCTGCCGGCCATCAATCTTTCATTCCCTGGACATCAACTCCATGCCACTGCAAGCGGCTGCTTCCCTTTCACTGGCCGGGGCACAGCGTGCCTGGGATGCAGTGGGGAAACTCCGCCAAAAATCCAGCCACAAACCCAGGCAAAACTTGTCCAAGTTCCAGGGATGCTTGGCCAGACAGAAGTCAAGATGGTGATGAATAAAACATGGTTATACCTGCATTACCCACACTTTCCCTGCCCTGACAGCCCTGCCCAGCTCCTGGTCTGGGCATCCAGGAAAGGATACAACTGCAACAGGCACAAAATAGCTTTTGCTGCTGCTGAAATTCTTCTTTTCAGTCTATCCCAGTGTAACTCCTTTACACAGTGCCTGCTCAACTCGCTTGCAGCAGAGAGCTTTTCTGCTGATGGACACGGTTGGCCAGTTTCAGCAGTAAGAGGATTTTATTTCTCACCATGGAATAAATAAATATGTCCTTGAAGGAAATCTTTTCTGAGGAAAAAAGCTACAGATGTCAGAAGAAAATAGAAAGAAGGGAGTGGGGCAGGGGGAAAAGGGAGCAAAAGAGACAAGCAAAGCTTTTCTCCCAATTTTCTATGGGGCTACACTATATTCCTGCAGGATTTCGCATGGACAGCACCTGGTCCTTAGTGCAAATCCTGCCCAGAGACTCTGAGCCACCTACCCAACACCAGACATTTACTTCTCACCTGATTTTTTCCATGTGTGCCCAGGACCTGTCTGGTCTGCAGTTTGTCACCTTGGATTGGAGTTACCTGTCCCTTCCCTTGCTCCATGGTAGGCAGCACTCACCCTGCAGGCAGCATCAGCTGGATCCTGGGGCAGAGTGGTGGTGCAGCACACATGGTCCTTCCTTGCCTGCAGAATCTGCTGGCTGCTGCTCCTTTTCCCTGCCCAGTAAAGCCACCAGCAGAATGCTGGTTTGTGCACTGGAAGGGGCAGGCCCCCAGGGACAGAGCCTGGCCACAATCTCACTGCATTTAGTCTTACTGCATGCTTTCTAAAGGATTTCCTCTATCCCACCACTGCTTCACTTCAAGGGGTTTGACATCTCATTTATCTGGTCTTCCACCGGTGCTGCCGCTCTGGCCATCCTGACGTGCCCTCCACTTGGATATGGGCCATACCCCCAGGGGGCATCAACCTCCATGGTGGCCCCAGAAAAAGAGATTGGGTCTGGCTACTCAAAAATATCCTTGCAGCAGCCCAGTGTCCTCTGTTCCCCATGGATAAAGGGGCCATGAACCATCCATCCCTTCTCCTTTGCTGATAGCACCTTGTGACATGTCTCTGGTTAGGGGGTGCCTCCAGCATTCAAAAGGTGCCCCATAAATTTGTCCATCCTGGTGCCTCAGAAGTCAGTGCTGCCTCCCAGCACAGCCAGAGGAGAGGGGTTAATGATGTGCTGGATGGCAGAGAAGGTCCTTCTTTCTTCTCACTAGAGGGACAAGAAGCTGCCTGCTTTCCACTAACACTTTTCAGACACAGTAGATCCTGGGTCCCACCTTACTCTTTTTTTACCCATCTGACAGCATTCCTGCCCATGTGCACCATGGTTATGCTTCTCCTGAAGCAAACCTTCACTTCTACCAGATGCATTCCCAAAGCAAAATCCTGGGGCAAAGTGCAGCTCAGCTGTGGATGGGAGCCAAGGTCCTCCCCTATTCCCAGATCTTACCGCCTCCCCCAGAAAGAGCAGGTACCAAACTCTATTTCTGGGTTGAAGAAACAAAATGCATTTGATTTCTCTACTTTCTAGATGAAAAAAATACCCTCTAAGAGACTTTTTCTCTCTACTCAGTGGTTTTGAAAGAGATCCCAGAAGCAACTGAAAGCAGATGACCTCCCACCAGCATCAAAGCCCTGGTTCAGCATCGCCTTCCCAAGGTTCTCAGCTCAGGCAGCAAATGCTGTTCCAATCTAATGCCACTCAGAGCAAAACAGGGACTGCAAAAACACTCAATAAATCCTCCCAGCTGTAGCTAAAAAGCAGGTTTTCAGCCCCAGGAAGCCCACAGCACCCTTTGAGAGTTTCCAATCGCCTCCCCAGCCTGGCAGTCTCCATGGCAGCCTGGTTTTCTTGCCAGCACCTTCAAGAGAGCTGCCTGAGATACCTAAAAAATAATAATTAGCCTCTTGCCCCTGCATGAAAGGCTCAGGCCTGATTGCACTCCCTGACCCCCCCAGCTCTCACTGTCAGAGCTTCCCCTCCACCTGTTTCTCCCCAAAAGCTGGGATGACGTGGGAGTACCTCCCACAGGGGCTGCTCCAGGGGTTCCCCCCACCACCACCACGTCACCCTGCCTCACACAGATCTAGCACCGTGTCAAGCAAAATCCCTTGCCAGCTTGTCTGCAACCTCCCCTGAGCCAGCTGCGGAATCTGATCATAATTCCTCTGGGAGCAGATGTCTTCCTGAAAATACAGGAGAAATGGGAATGAAGGAACAGAAAATGCTGGGCACACAGAAAGAAAACAAGGCCCCAGAAACCAGGAAGAAGTGAATAATCCCTCCTCCTAGCAAACAAGAGATCTCAGTGCCTCAGCAAAGGGGATGAAAGTAGCAGTGGTATTGCTGTTCCTCATTCTATATGGAATCTGCTCTTTGCTGAGCAAACAGAATAATTCAATCCCCTGACAGGGTGGGGCAGCCTGAAATATCCCAAACCCACCTCGGAAGGGGGGAGAGGGAGGGGTCCCTTAAAGCCTGGAGCACCCCAGTTGTGCATCACAGGTGTTGGAGGGGCAGATTTGCATTCAGAGAGGAAAGAGCAGCTTCCCGGAAGAGAGACGGCGCAAGAGGGCACGGAGAGAGAACCCAGAGATGTCCGAGATGCTGTGACAGTGAGACCACCCAGCACAAGCTGTTTTCCATAACCACAGGGAGGATTTTACAGCACCCCCAGCCCAGGAATCTGCTGCCAGGACAGTCATCAGGTCCATCCCCGCATGCACCGCTGCAGCTCCTTGGGGGAAGTCGAGTCCCTTCCCCTTTCCCACTGACGGGCACGTCACGTCCTACGGGCAACGGTGCCACGGTGACTCCCAGCACTGGGCACAGCTTGCCTAGCAGTGGGCAACCAAGGTCAGCGAAGGTCAGCGCTCTCAGAGACAGCCAGGTTGGCACATCTCCCTCCCTGGCAGCTGCAGGGTGCCAGGAAGGAGAGCACCAGCAGCACAGGAGCAGCCAGGCATGGACAGAGAGCAACAGGCAGCAGCCTCCGGGGCACATAGTGCAGCAGGCCCTGCCTGCCCAAACCCCATGGACAGCTCTGCAGAGCAGGGCCAGCACACCCAGAGCTCAGGTGCAGCAGGGGTCCATCCTGCTCACTTTTAACTTTTTAAATTATTGTTGTATTTTTACAAAACAAGGAAGATTTAATTAGAGCATATGTTTCAGCATCTCAGGTTAAGCCAGAAGCAACCTGAACCCAAACACCATCAACAAGCACCAGCTCTCCTGAGCAAAAGCAGAAACATCTAAGCATCATTGCTGGCCACTTCTCAGTTACAGCCCCTCCAGAAGCAACTGGAGGGGAAGGATGTTCTCGACCATGCTGAAGGAACAAGGATGCTCTTGCCACGAAGGACCAGCAGACACAAATTCCCACCCTGGCACAAAGGTGCTGAGCAGAGGGAGCTGTGAGGCCAATGTCCCAGCTCCCTCCCGGGACACGCTGCGGGCTGCATTCACACCCGACCGCACAGAGCGGGGCTCCAGGGGCAGCTGCTCTCACATCCCTGCTCGAATATTGATTCGGTTACATAAATTATGCAGCACCTCTACTCCTGATTAATATTGCTAATTGAGCTGGCAAGGCGAGGGGCAGGAGGGAAATACCGTGAGGACACACAGTCAGTCATGCACCAAGCACACAGAGAAACGCAGAAGCCGCCGTGTCGGGGTGCTGGCGGGGTCCTGTGGGGAGCGGGTGGAGAAATCGGGAAGCAGAAATTCACTCGGGCTCTCCGCAGCTCCCCTGGGCTGGGGAGCAGCTGAAGCCGAGCATCCCCGTAGGCAAGGGAGCGGTGGCCGGGGCTGCGGCCAGGCAGACGAGCGTGACACATCTGTCCGAGCACGACACATCTGTCCGAGCACGACACATCTGTCCGAGCACGTCGCGGCGGGTGCTGAGCATCAGCCCAGACAAAGGATGCGGAAGAGCCCCGCACCGGCGGCACCCCGGGGCCGAACCCCTTCCCGCACCTCCCCTCGGCACCCAAACGCTCCGAGCCTCAGCGACCCCCTCCCCCGCTAATCGCCGGCTCTTTCGGGAAGCTTCAGCTTATCGCCCCCATCGCCGCTCTGTCGGGTTCGGCGGGGCCGGGGATGCGCGGGGCGCGGCCGCGGGGTGCCGGTGGCGGGGGGCGCAGCGGGGCAGCCCGGCCCGGGGCGGGGGCCGAGCGGCGGGGCAGCCCCCGGGGTGGGGCGGGGGGACACGAGCGCTCGGCGGGCGCCGCTCACCGTGGATGCCGGTCTGGTGAGTCATGGCTCCGCTCGGCGCCGCTCCGCTCGGCTCCGCTCCGCCGCGTCCCGGGCAGGAAACGGCTGGGCAGGCAGCACCGCCCGTTCCGGAGCGCGGGGCCGCTCCGCTCCGCGCCGCCCCGGGGCGGGACCGCGGCCGGGCCGGGAGGAGCCGCACCTGCCCCGCCATGTCGGGCGAGTGGCTGCGGCGCTGGCGGCGGGGCGGCCCCGCGGAGCGCCCCGGCGGAGCCCCGGCCGCGGGGCCGGGCCCGCCGCCCCCCGCCCTGCGCTACCGCCGGCCCAAGTTCGTGCCCGGCGGCGGCGAGGAGGCCCCGCGGGGCGGGCGGGCCGTGCGCGGCGCCGCGCCCGAGCGGCCGCTGCCCTGGGGCGCGGGCTACGCCGAGTGAGTGGAGCCGCCCCGGCCGGGGCTGCGGGCGGGCTGCGGGGCTGCCGGGTGCTGCTACCGGGGAACAGTGCAGGTCTGGGGGGTGTGGAGGCTGCGGGGGAGCTTACGGGACTCGTGGCGGGGTGTGCCGCGGGCGGTCGCACCGCAGCTGCCCTCGCTGCGCCCCTCGGCTGCAGCCGCCCCCGCCCGCAGTGGCCGCCCGCAGGCACAGCTCGCCCTCCTGCACATCTGCGGGCGAAGAGAGAGTGGCTTTCTGCCCCACAGGGGGTTTGGCGTGGCGGTGAATCCTCCAGCCCGTCTCCGTCCCTGCGGGGCGGTGGGGACACCCCTGGCCACCCCCTGCCAGCCGCAGTGCCGGTCCAGCGCTGTGACACGGGGCCGGGGCAGCCCCGAGAGAGCACCGCTCTCAGCAAAGCGTCTTCAAAACAAAGGAGGGAGATGACCACGATTTTAGAAATCATTTGATTTGCTGTTTTAAACGGCAGAGGGGATGGATCAGGCAGAACTCCAGCCAGGAGCTGTCCCCACGTCCTGGCCAGACCACGTCTTGACCCCATGGGGTTGGGATGGCACAGCGTGAAATGCAAGGAGAGCACACTCCCGTCCAGGGACAGACATTACCAAGGCTGGAAGGAAAAGCGAGGGTGGTGGTTCTGCAATACACTGTGTCAACAAGGAAATGCCATGGTGTGAGCTGCTGACGAATGCTGCCTGAGGCCAGGGTGCAGGTCTCTGTCCCCAGCTGGGCTTTTCCCTCCTGCACGTAAATGGCTTACTATTTCAGTCATCAGCAAAGAGATCCTTGAGTTTGAAAAGGGAGCAGGGAGCATGGGGCTGGAAAGGAGGGGCAAGGTGCAGCTGTTTGCAGGGGCTGCAGAGCAGCCAGCACAGCTGGCTGGGAGCAGGAGAGCTGCAGTGTGTCCCCTCACCTTACCTGGAGTGTTTGCAGGGTTATCAATGCTGAGAAGTCGGAGTTCAATGAGGACCAGGCAGCCTGCTGTCAGATCTCTGTCCGGAGGAGAGAGCCAGGTCTGGAGGAGGATGAGGAATGGCTGATCCTGTGCTCCACACAGGTATTGCCCCCAGGCAGGCTGTGCTCACCCTGCTGCCAGCCTTTTGCTGCCACCCAAGGGCGCAGGTTCAGGAAACACAGGATTGCTCCATCAGTCCTACTTGCCCACGTGCTGAAACCGTTCTTTGGTTGTATTTAGGGGACCCATGTACCCTGTGGCCAGCAAATATGTAGCTCTGTAAATGCCATTTCTACTTCCATGGCCGATGACTTGCAGCATTTGAGGTCATCCAAGCCCTCACCTTTCCTGTCCTCCCTGTGCTTTCAAGGGCCAGTGTGTCTTGCCATCACTTGGGCAGCAGTGTGAGCTGGGCACACAGGATGCTCTCCCCAGGCTGTGCTGCACTTCTTGTGAAATGGTCCCATCTCCCCTAATACAGCACATGAGGGTGTGTGGTGCAAATCCAGATGCTCACATGATGGCTCTGGCAGAGCAGCACGTGGGCATCACTTGAGATTGAGATTTACCAGTGGCAAGGAAGGGTAGCTGGGGTGGAAAAGTAAGGCAAAACACATACAGTGGCATCCTGGCTAAGAGCCTGCCCTCTGTACAACCTCTTCAGCCCCTGTCTTGTCCCTCTTCCTCACGGCAGTTTCTGACTGGTCACTACTGGGCGCTGTTTGATGGCCATGGTGGCCCAGACGCTGCCATCATCGCCTCCAACTATTTGCACTACTGCATCAAGCAGAAGCTGGAGGAGATTGTGGGAGGCATCACCGAGGCCCAGCCCCCCATGCACCTCAGTGGACGCTGCGTTTGTGACAGTGACCCCCTGTTTGTGGAGGAGAAGCACATCCATGCAGCAGACTTGGTGGTGGGAGCCCTGGAGAATGCCTTCCAGGAGTGTGTGAGTACCCCATGCAGGGCACCAGCCACAGCCTGTCCCTCCCTGAGCCCTGGAAGGGCAGGGTCTGCAGTTCTGCTGCTCGCTGAGTAGGCTGGAACATTGTGCCAAACCTTTAAATGTGCTGAGATCATGCTGGGTCAGACCCCAAGGCCTGTGTCAGAGCTGTTTGTTGGCAGTGCTGACCCAGAGCAAAGCTGCAGTAGCTCTGTCCAATTCTGTAGGGCAGGCAGGTGGCTGTTGTCACACTCATACAGCACATACAAGTCTGAGCTCTCCTCATCACACCTCCTACACAGCAGCTGCGTAGGCTGTACAGAAGCAACATTGCCTGTTACTTTGCTGGTTTCCTCTTGCCCATCCACAGTCAGTTTTGGTTCTGGATTTCTGCTGGGAGGGATGAGACAGTGTGTAGAAAGCAGCACCAGAGATCACGCCAGTCTCCAAACTTGTTGAAACCAACAGGATGAAGTCATTGGCCAGGAGATGGAAGCTACGAACCAGACAGGAGGTTGCACTGCTCTGGCTGCCCTTTATTTCCAGGGAAAGCTCTATGTGGCCAATGCTGGGGACAGCAGGTGAGTCATAATAAAAGGGGGAACTTGCTGGGGATGAGAGCTGGGAGTTAAGCAAGGTGTTCAGCATCTTACTGTCCTGGTCTCAGCTGGGACAGAGTTCTAGAGAACACTGTTGAAAACCCACTGATGTTTAAGTTGTGCAAGCGCTGCTCAGCAGCTGCTCAGAGTCAGGGACTTTTCAGCTTCTTACCCCACCAGCAAGGAGGTTTGGGGGTACAAGAAGCTGGGAGGGACACAGCTAGGACAGTTGATTCCAAGTGACCCAAGGGATGTTCCAGACCATATGGCACCATGCTCAGTGTGTGAACTGAGGGGAAAGGTGGCCCAGGGCCACTGCTAGGGAAGTGGCTGGGCATCAGTCAGCAGGTGGTGAGCAACAGTGCAATTGCAATGGAGTTATTTGAAATACTGTGGCATTTTTTAACAGTTTCGGGTGCACAGCTGTTCTCTGGCACGACTGAGCTTTGCCTCTTCCCCCTTGTAGGGCAATTCTTGTCCTGAAGGACAACATTGTGCCCATGAGCAGCGAGTTCACGCCCGAGTCAGAGAGGCAGCGAATCCAGCACTTGGTGAGTGATTCCTTCCACACATCAGACAATGCAGCTGCAAGCATCCCACTTGGCCAGAGAGGGCTTGTGGCAAGAGGACCTCAGCTTTCCTTGAAGGCCACTGTGTGGCTATAGTATCAGCTAGACCTAGCCAGGGAGGGAGGGGTAGAAATTTGGCCAACAGCCTTTGTATGGGAGATGTCAATGTCCTCACTGGAACATGCTTTGCCAATTTTGGTCTCCATTGTGCTGCTGGGAGTACCAGTCCTGAGGCAGAAGCAAAACCTGTCCATGCTCACCCCTCCATTCCCTCCTCCAGGCTTTCCTTTTCCCCAAGCTCCTGGATGGTGAATTCACCCGCTTTGAGTTTCCACGGAGGTTGAAGGGAGATGATGTGGGTCACAAAGTCCTGTACCGGGATTACTTCATGGAGGGCTGGTGAGTCCTGTCCGGGACAAGGCTGCAGCACAGGGCAGCTGCACCTGCTCACACCCATGGGGAAGTGAAGGGGCACATCCTGCTAGTGAGAGCAGCAGCATGATGGTGGGGAAGGATGCTGTGAGCAGCTCCCTCCAAAGAAGGGCCCTGGCAGGGTGGTTAGAAAACACTCAGGATGGTCCTTCTGGCAATCCATGGGCATGGGGCTGGTGCAAGCAAGCCCAAGCTGGTGGAGGTACAAGCTAGGGAGGAAGGGGAGAGTGAGGATCACCTTGCCCCCTGCTCAGTGAGTTGCCTGTGCGTGGGGACACCACAAGGGTCAATCAGAGTCAAAATGCTCTTGCTGGGTTGTACTATCAAATCAGACAAATCCCAAATCAGCAGTGAATTCTCTGTTCCAGGGGGTACAAGACGGTGGAGAAAGCTGACCTCAAGTATCCTCTTGTCCATGGTCACGGGAAACAGGTAGTTTAATGCTTTACACACTGGGGAGGCACAGGCAGGTCTTCTCACTGTCCCTGTCACTCATGTCACACTCTGGGGCACTAGAGCAGACCTCTGCAGCTCTGGTGTTCTCCAGCACAGCACGGTCCCACAGCCTGGACACAGCAGCTTCCTTAGCTGCCTGGCTGGTGTCACCCAGAGCCCTCTGGAGGGCCCTCCTCCAGAGTACAGCAGAGCAGACAGCAGCCCTGAGGGCTTGCACATGAGAACTCTATTCAGGTGAGAACTTCATTAGCTCCCACTTGGGACTGCCTCCTTTAACTCTCGTGCCTTTCCCACAAACTGTTCTCCTCGAGGAAAGGCTGAGAAATGAGCCTGGAGAGGGAAGAGATAGGGAGAAGCAGTGACTGCACCCATCCAGCATCTGCCTGCTGGGGGTGAGCAGAAAGTCCCATCACCTCTCCCAGCACTACAACCTACATGCCACCCCCTTTACAGAGTCAGTGCAGCATCTCCTTTGCCAGGACAGACACCCCCAAACCAACCCAACTGTCTTTCTTGCCGCCTCAAGCCAAGAGCAGATGCCACCATGGGCTTCCTGAGGTCTGTAGCATTACCCAGAGCACACGTACTAACTCCAGAGCACACCATGGGCCACAGGGAGCCATTCACAGGCTGTTTCCACACTCCCGTCAGGCCATTGCTTCTCATCACTCCTCCATCTCTAAAGTCTCCAGAGGCTGTTCTGGGTGATGCTTGGAGAAAGGTGCTAAAGCAACACACAGATCATTCAGGACAAGCCAC